GGCTCCTATGCCTAATAATGCCTTAACCTAACACTCATCGTACCCCCCCACCAAGTCAGGACCGGAAGTGGGGTACTGTGCCGCCTTCAGCCACACCAGTCCCTGCCTATTCTATGAATTTGGTTTGTATATAAAATTTTGAAGTCCATCTAAATGTCTTAATAAAGAGACCCTATTTCTAACGATCTAAAGTTTTGGATAAAATTTTCACTATCCTCTGTGTCGGCGTTTACGCGCCTACTCTTTTCCGAAATAACCCAGAGGGATTTTTTCCGTGCGAGATTGGACAGTTCTCACACGGGTCACCATTTATAGTCCCATCCGACGAACTGTTCCAGCAGACGTCTTTCGCGCTCCCTTTTATACCTTTATCACATGATCACATGATCCATCTCAACCAATGAAATCGCTTCTCACATCAACTCTCACAAAAAGTTCCTCAACCTCTCGCATTATAAATCTAGTATTTACAAAGTTACAATTTCCTAACATGTGTCCTCTTTCTGTCATTGTTCTTATTATTATAATTAAAAGTGATTAAATCAGTAAGGACAATCTAAAACACAAAACTCATAAAAAGCACAAACATTTTCGGTCTCAGTTTGTCTCGCAAGAATAGCAGACGACATGCGTAATGTTACACAAAAATGGCGCGATAAGGCAAGAAAGATGATTATTACTATCATAATAAATCTATAACATTTCTTGTATAACTAAACTTGTAGATAATATTTAAATATCAGCAACATTCCTATGAATTTATCATCTAGCTTATAAATAGACACAGAAGCTCTTTTTCAAGGCCTAGCTTTACATTACATTCCAATCGGCAACTCACTCCCGGTTTACAAGCAGCTTCACACTCGCTAAATATGAGCAACAATTCAACAAGTCTTCGATGGCGGTTCGATATAAAAGGTATGTTAAAACGAATATCCCGCGTCTCGATGTCCTTACTTTCTTCTAGTAATGTCCTAAAATATATATAGCAGCAGTACTCTCTTGCATTACGTAGTTGATCCAGTTCTTCACATAAACTAGTTGATCGACATTTCTTCATTTAAGAAGTAGTAGTTTTAAATAACTAGTGACATGCTAGTATGTTCACTACAATATATATGGGTCAAAGAAGTAATATAGACGGTAAAATCCCATATAACACTGGATCCTAATGGAGGTATGTCCGTAGGATACGAATTACTTAAAATATTATATGGGGCAAAGAAGAAATTCCAACAGTGTGGACAAGGTTAGGTTGTCAAATTTTCAGAGCGATCCGCTCCTTTTTCAAGACACAGTGAAACAGAACAGTTACATGTACATATACATCATATTACAAGAAGATAGAATTGATATACTATAATTGAAAATATAGCTATTATATAAAACCAATAGTCCCCTCGGCTAAAGACAGCCGAAGGCAGCAATTAAGCTGAGAGCATCGCGGACAAGGAACGCTGATGTAGAGGACCTATTCTTGCGCAAGATGCACTGTCATATAAAGTGAGTCAACGAGAGATATCAAAAACGTGGAACATGTGCATTTGGAAATATGGCCCGGTAAATGTGAAAAATCTCCAATCTACTACGGAATGTCTCATTAGTCGCCTCTCAATACTGCGATGGATCTACTGCCTGCTGCTTCATGTCAGTGTGTGTGACCAACAGCCGATGTCAGATTTATATAGTATCTTAGCCATTTCATCTACTTATTCCTCCTGCACTCACTTATTTGATAATTACATGCATAATTCCTGCAAACCTATAGAGGAACATGCATTATTCCTGCAAACCAAAAGAGGCGACTAAGTGGGACCCCCTGCTGTGACTTAGATCCATTTGCTTCTGATTTCAGGTATTCTCTCCAGGGCGTTCTCACCAATGCTTCGTCGACCTTACAAACACGCCATTAATAGTAACATGGCAGCCGAATTAGAAAACCCACATTGGAACACCATGTTATCAACTGTTAGCAATGAACTAGATTACTTAAGTATGGTATTTACATGTTTCGCGACAGAAAAGTTACGTATTATAGAATTAAAGTACTTGGATGGAAGGGCTGACATGGACATGGATGGAAGGACTGACATATGGACATAGATGGAAAGACTGACATATGGACATGGATGGAAGGACTGACATATGGACATAAATGGAAAGACTGACATATGGATATAAATGGAAAGACTGACATATGGACATGGATGGAAGGACTGACATATGGACATGGATGGAAGGACTGACATATGGACATAGATGAAAGGACTGGCATATGGACATAGATGGAGGGACTGACATGGACATAGATGGGAGGACTGTCATATGGACCAGCGTCGCCGAGAACCAGTGTGTTGAAGAAGTTTTAACATTGAACTAACATGTTGAGCTACTTTATTAAATGTTACAGGAATTGGCGTTTTCGTAAGACAGTGCGTGCAAACCCACATGGGAACACTATGTTATCAACTGTTAACAATGAACTAGATTACTTAAGTATAGTATTTTACATGTTTCGCGACGGAAGAGTCACGTATTATAGAATTAAAGTACTGTTATTATTAAGCAAAGACTTGAGTAACAGACTGAACGACCCTAGCTATGTACATCAACAAGTTTCATAAATTATTTCCTACGTTTGAATTGACTGATTGCTAACATTAATTTCAAAATAAAACACTTACAGTTAGTAAATACCAAAAGCTTTTGGTACTGGTTATCTATAAAGGTGTTTATACCTTACACTGAGCAACGACACATCCCGTATCAGCTGAAGATGTAGACATTGCTCAGTGATACGTGAAAATCGGGTTTCCATTGGAGAACTATGGACAAATATGGGCAAATAGTATACAAGTAGTGGACAAATAGTGGACAAATATGGACAAATAGTGTACAAGTAGTGGACAAATATGGACAAATAGTCGACAAAGATTTAAAGTGGACAAATAACACTTAATATCATGTTTTTATTTCTATCTAAGTATTCAAAACATTTCATGATGAAAAATGTCTATTTTTACGTTAAAATATCGATAAATTAATCATTTAATTCATTTCATAAGATAAGATACTTTACTTGTAAAGAAAAATAACACTTTTTTTTTTTTTTTTTTCACTGTAATGTTTTTATTGTATGAAAAAAATAGACCAAAATAATATACGGTAGAAGGGAAGTAACTCTTATACTCGGCGTCACACTAACCGATAGTTGACACGACACAGGCTTTGAAGGACGGTTCAGTCTAAGATTAGCAACGATTATCAGGTATTTTCTTTACTTTAAAACGTATTTCATGACAATTCTAACTGTTTCTTGAATCGTTACTGTTTTAAAGCTATAGAATAGCTTAAAATACAATTGCGGCAACTGCACTCATATATATGAGATCTGCCGCAGTAAATGGAAGAAGAAGAAGAAGAAAAATAGCTAGAAATTGTTAAGTAACTTCAGCTACAAGTTTTTACCGGCAATTGACATGGTTGTCTAACAGCTTGCAAGGAGCTATCTTCGGCTATGACCAGTGAATTTACAGTATGGAATCCTTGAAACAACCCTTTACAAGACATGATAGATGTCTTACAAAATAGATGAATACTTATACATGCAATATGCTTACAGAAATATCTAATTGTCTACGTGTTTATTATAATTTTTAGTTCAAACAAGGACGCAACAACACCTGCTACAGCACCGACACACTCACTTCCCACACGAAAAAAAAAGTTCCTCTCAATTTAATACCACACTCGAAAACACTATAAATATGCCGTGAATTTTATATTGTAAATAACGCATGTTGTAACTATTTATTGTTTGTAAATATGTTTTATGCATATTATTATCGAGTAAAATGAAAATATATGATTAAAAAGAGGAGAAAAGAAAAGAAAAGAGAGAAAAAAAACAACGAAACCTCGTCGCCGAGAGAGAGAATACTTGAAATCAGAAGGTAAAAAGTCAGAAACAAGGGAAGTTAATTCCGTCAAAATGACGTCACACACAAAATACACACCTATTGGAAACAGGGGGAGATAATTCAGTCGGTAACACTAAAATTGATGACGTCACACGCAAAACCCCCCACATGATGAATACATGACATGTAGATCTGGGGCCCTGTAGGTTAAGGGGTCCCCCCCCCTCCCAAAGATCCACATGTATTTATCAAGTTTCCTCTCATATACATATGAAAAAACACTAACAATTTCTCTACTTCACAAATTGGTTGAAGAATATACATTACACCTTTATTCACATTTATGGCGACTTGTAAAAGGTGTTATTACGACTTTCTTCTCCTGATAATGCTTTCAATATTAACGCGATTTAAAAGTTTATGTTCAAAAGTTGACCCTTCTAGGCTTTCGTAGTGAATTAATCAAAGATAATGATACAAAATAGTAATCAAATCGTTTGCTGCCCCTACATTGCCTTAAAGTACATGTGTACTTTTTGCAAACTGTATAGACATTTTGTCTGTATCAATAGACTTTAAATTGAATACTGGGATAAAACCTGATCGAATGGCATTCGGGTGAGGCTAAACTAACCTTTCATGCACTTATGACGTCATATGGCTTAAGATTATTTCCGCATTTCACTGAGAGTAGATTTGAGACTGTTTTTAGGTATGTGGCTATAAGGTACGGGATGGTAGCCGGTACACAGAAAGAAATGGCCATCAGCGTGAACAATGTTGCCAATGACCTGTATTCCGTCCACAAGAACTCCGGTCGACTAATTTGTCAAGCTATCTATTGAGACTGTTGCTTTATGCATTAACCTTTTCGATCTATGAACTGTTCGAAGTCTAAATATGGTATTTTTATCGGCAGTGTTCCTTAATCACACAATCTCGGGATTTAACAGAGATCATTTTATCATAATGGTATTCAGGTAGTGTTTGCTTCTCTCAGGCGAACTGATAAATCAGTAAGTAAGATTGACGTTTCTGGAAGTACGCCTAAATAGCTACCGTATAAGTTCATGATGATCTCGAAGTGAGACGTTGTTTGTGTCTGTATCGTAACCTATTCCGACCATGCTTGTTTTCGCTGGATATACTGCCTTGTGTTGCCTACTTTCCGTGTCAGGACGAACCATTCATTTACCACACACATTCTCAGGTTTGATATTACATTTTTTTGTGAAGTGAGTTTCAGGTGATTATAATTACAACAATTATATTTTAAGATATTTTGAACGATATGCAAACAGCTATGCAGATTATAGGGACATACAACGATGATGCCACAACAGAAATGACACAGGGTCAACACACCAAGACGAAACCGGAAAACAAACATTAACAGGAACACCACTCACATCTTATTCATGAACATGTTAGATGTGTTCTAAATATGAGTAGTAACACATCGTTACTCACCATTTCTTATTTATCCGGGGAAAGTATCTTCCGAAAAAATTAATCGGAGAGCATTTATAGCTATTTAAAAAAAGGAAAACAAACAATAAAATAAAAAAAATCAATAAAACATGCTTTAATAATTTGTTTTGATAGATATTTGATAACGGAGTTTTTTCAAACAGAACTATAATGAAATGTTTCAGGAGATATTTTTCATCATGGTTTACATGGCCATACCGCCCACACGACACATTTGACCAGTGGACTGTGGCAGTACCTTCTCAGTCATTTCGGTCACAGTCAGCATCATCCCCACAGCCATCATACCCACAGTACAGACCAGGAAGTTATAAATTCGGAAGTTAACATCACATCCGGTACAATAAAACCGGAAACACAACCGACTCAGGGTAATGAAATACCGGAAGTATCGAATACAGTACCAGGAAGTGGGATACCAGAGGTTGGAACAGACCAATCAGTGACCACAGGTAGCATTGATGAACGACAAAGTTTTGGCCGTTGGAAAGACCAGTGGCTGCTGAATCATCTGTCCACCTGTGGGGACCAGCCCATTGAGCCTGTTTTCCCTACCAACAGAATCATCGGGGGAAGACAGGCCGTGGATGGAAGCTGGCCCTGGATGGTATGTAAGATCTATCAAATGATTACTGACTTTATTCAGTAAATCACCCATGTTATATATTTATATTCCGTTGTAAGCCTCCAAATAGCCGTACCGATTCACTAAGTTGTTATAATAGCATACAAGCAAGACATTTAACACACATTAATGTTTTACAATCGAAAAATATTCGGATCTTTCTGTGATAACGTCAGAGTGACTAAATACCAATATAATCAAACCTAGACCGTAGGGAATTGTAACCACATTGTTCTTTAAAAAATCGGCTGTTCCGCCATCTTGTAAAACAGTTTGTTTAAATTGTTGCGCGAATAAAAAAGAAACCACCCAAAATGATAGGAAAACATTTTCATTTTGATTTTAGATAAGGATTATCCTTCATTTTGAAACTCCCACACAAAGACCCCTGCAGGCTTCCATCCGGGCCAATAAAAGCGATTAGGCCTAATACATTTGTATGTCATAGAAACTGTTTTTCTTAATTGTTTTAAAACATTTTTTTTTATATATATATTTTGATTTAATAAAGATAATGATGACATCCCAGGCCTTCAATATCACGTCACAGTGAAAAAATGTTTATAAAATATAAAGCCGACATGGCTTTATGTACTGTAAGATCGTGTATTAACACTTATTTTTTGTTCCTTGTACCAGTGTATGTTTCTGTATTTGAAAAGATAATCATACGATGTGATAGTTTTCGGATTTGATTTTTAGTTAAAAGGTACTCTGAACATCATAAATCTATATTAGTGTCATTAAGTTATACAATGTGTAATTGGATTTAAGTATAGACATATCTATCCAATTTACAGGTTTCTTTCTATTCCAAAACAATACGGCAGCATGTATGCGCTGGAACTATTATTGACAGCAAGTGGATTGTCTCGGCAGCACACTGTTTTGTGGAATTTCAGTAAGTTCTCAATCGAAGAGCCCGTTTCCGGTTGGTAAACATTGTGGGTTTCATGGCAACTACACTCATTAAATCTCCGATGCCTCCGTCATTGAAACCCTCTATCTTGATTGGCCGGTTTCTACCGTCCAAGTTTGCGGAGATTCAAAAGAGTTACAAGAGCTGAATGGAACAACTTTAAAAAAATCAAGATTTGAATTATTTCTTTATTCGAATCTATTTTTTCATTATCTTTTATTTCACATTAATTGGCACAGATAACGATATATATACTGAACACGTGTTTACCTATGATACATGTTTCTAAATACATCAATGTACTATTGTACCTGTAGAACAGTATGACTACTAATGTGTTTCTCCTTAGCAGCCTGGAGTGTTTTTGTTTTTTTTATTTCATCCATGATCTCGTTATGCAAATTAAAGTGCATGTGCTTGGTTAAAGAGCAGACTATTGAGGTATCCAAGATTTCTAATGATAATTTGTTATGACCAAGAACATTCGGTTCATGAGTATTTAAAGGGCAATAACTCTCATGCACAATATCCGGTATTGTGTTGTTCACTTATTAAAAAAATATCGGCATTGAAACAAATATGTTAAGGTGATAATAACTTAAGACATGGTTGAGTACTAGTATTGAGAAGCGTTATGTAAAACTGACCCCTATGTTGCTAGGTTGATATTTCACCACATACCCGACATCAAGGACGATCTCGAAGTGCGTGTGGGTTTATACAATAACACAGCATCTACCGCGGACCAATATATGCAAACCTATCACGCAGATCACATTCTGGTACACCCTGAGTTTGAACTTGATATACTAGACAACGACATAGCTCTGGTACACCTGGACACGCCCATCAGCTTCACTGACCACGCCCAGCCCGTGTGTTTATTCGGACAGGATGCAAAAGGGGAGGACAAATGTATTATTACAGGATGGGGGCGGCAAAAAAGTAAGTACTTCTATACTGATGTTGCCATTACCCTGCCCCTTTTTGCGAAAGTGTTGACTCTATTTCGCTGTTGATGGTGTTGTCACTCCGTTATCGCGTGTTGTATGTGACAGTGTTGAATCTATTTCGCTGTTGATGGTGTTGTCACTCCGCTATCGGTCGTGTTGTTTTCGGTAGTGTTGACTCTATTTCGCTGGTGATGGTGTTGTCACTCCGCTATCGGTCGTGTTGTTTTCGGTAGTGTTGACCCTATTTCGCTGTTGATAGTGTTGTCACTCCTCTATTGGTCGTGTTGTTTGTGACAGTGTTGAATCTATTTCGCTGGTGATGGTGTTGTCACTCCGCTATTGGTCGTGTTATTTGGTAGTTTTAACTTTATTTTGCTGGTGATGGTGTTGTCACTTCGCTATTGGTCGTGTTATTTGTGGTAGTGTTGACTTTATTTCGCTGGTGATGCTGTTTTCTCCCACACCTGACAGATTTATCTCCCGTTTTGCCGGTGCTAGATTTATCTGTCTCCGCCCTAGGGTTGAGACGGGGGCATTCCTCTATTCATAACAATGGCATGACGTCACTTCAACAATACAATGACGTCACGTCAACAATCCATCAACAAATTGCCTGTATGTGTTTTGGGTCCATGTTTACCTTTATCTCGGCGAGCCTCGTTCTGGACAAAAAATCTTAGTCCTCGGGTTGATATTTTTCTCTATCTTACACAACCAGTAGCGATAGATTCTATTAGTCACTCCGCTATTGGTCGTGTTGTTTTCGGTAGTGTTGACTCTATTTCGCTGATGGTGGTGTTGTTACTCCGCTAGTGGCCGTGTTGTTTGTGGGAGTATTGACTCTATTTCGCTTGTGATGGTGTTGTCACTCCGCTATTGGCCGTGTTGTTTGTGACAGTGTTGACTCTGTTTCGCTGGTGATTGTGTTATCTCAACGCTATTGGTCGTGTTGTTTGTGACAGTGTTGACTCTTTTTCGCTGATGATGGTGTTGTCACACCGCTATTGGTCGTGATGTTTGTGACAGTGTCGACTCTTTTTCGCTGGTGATGGTGTTGTCACACCGCCTTTTGATCGTGATATTTGTGACAGTGTTGACTCTGTTTCGCTGGTGATGGTGTTGTCACAACGCTACTGGTCGTGTTGTTTGTGACAATGCTGACTCTTTTTCGCTGATGATGGTGTTGTCACACCGCAATTGGTCGTGATGTTTGTTACAGTGTCGACTCTTTTTCGCTGGTGATGGTGTTGTCACACCCCCTTTTGATCGTGATATTTGTGACAGTGTTGACTCTGTTTCGCTGGTGATGGTGTTGTCACAACGCTACTGGTCGTGTTGTTTGTGACAGTGTTGATTCTTTTTCGCTGGTGATGGTGTTGTCACTCCGCTATTGGTCGTGTTGTTTGTGACAGTGTTGATTTTTTTTCGCTGGTGATGGTGTTGTCACTCCACTATTGGTCGTGTTGTTTGTGACAGTGTTGACTCTTTTTCGCTTGTGATGGTGTTGTCACCCCGCTATTGGTCGTGAATTTTGTGACAGTGTTGACACTATTTCGCTTGTGATGGTGTTGTCAATTCGCTATTGGCCGTGTTGTTTGTAGTAGTGTTGACTCTATTTCGCTGGTGATGGTGTTGTCACTTCGATATTGGTAGTGTTGTTTGTGACAGTGTTGACTCTTTTTCGCTTGTGATGGTGTTGTCAATTCTCTATTGGCCGTGTTGTTTGTAGCAGTGTTGACTCTATTTCGCTGTTGATGGTGTTGTCAAACCGCTATTGGTCGTGTTGTTTGTGGTAGTGTTGAATGGTGTTGTCACACCGCTATTGGGCGTGTTGTTTGTAGTAGTGTTTACTCTATTTCGCTGGTGATGGGGTTGTCACTTCGATATTGGTAGTGTTGCTTGTGACAGTGTTGACTCTTTTTCGCTGGTGATGGTGTTGTCACTTCGGTTGTTTGTTGTAGTGATGACTCTATTTCATTGGTGATGGCGTTGTCACTTCGCTATTGGTCATGTTGTTTGTAGTAGTGTTGACTCTATCTCGCTGTTGATGGTGTTGTCACTTCGCTATTGGTCGTGTTGTTTGTAGTAGTGTTGACTCTATTTCGCTGTTGATGGTGTTGTCACTTCGCTATTGGTCGTGTTGTTTGTAGTAGTGTTGACTCTATGTCGCTGTTGATGGTGTTGTCACTTCGCTATTGGTCGTGTTGTTCGTAGTAGTGTTGACTCTATTTCGCTGGTGATGGTGTTGTCACACCGCTATTGGTAGTGTTGTTTGTGACATTGTTGACTCTATTTCGCTGGTGATGATGTTGTCACTTCGCTATTGGTCGTGTTGTTGTGGTAGTGTTGAATCTATTTCGCTGTTGATGGTGTTGTCACACCGCTATTGGTCGTGTTGTTTGTAATAGTGTTGAATCTATTTCGCTGATGGTGGTGTTGTTACTCCGCTAGTGGCCGTGTTGTTTGTGGTAGTATTGACTCTATTTCGCTGATGGTGGTGTTGTCACTCCGCTATTGGTCGTGTTGTTTGTGACAATGCTGACTCTTTTTCGCTGGTGATGGTGTTGTCACACCGCAATTGGTCGTGATGTTTGTGACAGTGTTGACTCTTTTTCGCTTGTGATGGTGTTGTCACACCGCCTATTGATCGTGATATTTGTGACAGTGTTGACTCTGTTTCGCTGGTGATGGTGTTGTCACTTCGCTATTGGTCGTGTTGTTTATGACAATGTTGACTCAATTTCGCTGTTGATGGTGTTGTCAAACCGCTATTGGTCGTGTTGTTTGTAATAGTGTTGACTATATTTCGCTGGTGATGGTGTTGTCACATCGCTATTGGTCGTGTTGTTTGTAATAGTGTTGACTCTATTTCGCTGTTGATGGTGTTGTCACACCGCTAGTGGCCGTGTTGTTTGTGGTAGTATTGACTCTATTTCGCTGATGGTGGTGTTGTCACTCCGCTATTGGTCGTGTTGTTTGTGACAATGCTGACTCTTTTTCGCTGGTGATGGTGTTGTCACACCGCAAATGGCCGTGATGTTTGTGACAGTGTTGACTCTTTTTCGCTGGTGATGGTGTTGTCACACCGCCTATTGATCGTGATATTTGTGACAGTGTTGACTCTGTTTTGCTGGTGATGGTGTTATCTCAACGCAATTGGTCGTGATGTTTGTGACAGTGTTGACTCTTTTTCTCTGGTGATGATGTTGTCACACCGCCTTTTGATCGTGATATTTGTGACAGAGTTGCCTCTGTTTCGCTGGTGATGGTGTTGTCACTTCGCTATTGGTCGTGTTGTTTGTAGTAGTTTTGACTCTATTTCGCTGTTGATGGTGTTGTCACTTCGGTATTGGTCGTGTTGTTTGTAGTAGTGTTGACTCTATTTCGCTGGTGATGGTGTTGTCACTTCGCTATTGGTCGTGTTGTTGTGGTAGTGTTGAATCTATTTCGCTGTTGATGGTGTTGTCACACCGCTATTGGGCGTGTTGTTTGTGACAGTGTTGACACTATTTCGCTGGTAGTGGTGTTGTCACACCGCTATTGGTCGTGTTGTTTATGACATTGTTGACTCTATTTGACATTGTTACATACAACATGACCAATAGCGGTGTGACAACACCATCAACAAACAACACGACCAATAGCGAAGTGACAAAACCATCAACAGCGAAATAGAGTCAACACTACAGTGACAACATCATCACCAGCGAAAAAGAATCAACACTGTCACAAACATCACGACCAATAGCGGTGTGACAACATCATCACCAGCGAAAAAGAGTCAACACTGTCACAATCATCACGACCAATTGCGTTGAGATAACACCATCACCAGAAAAACAGAGTCAACTCTGTCACAAATATCACGATCAAAAGGCGGTGTGACAACATCATCACCAGCGAAAAAGAATCAACACTGTCACAAACATAACGACCAATAGCGGTGTGACAACACCACTACCAGCGAAATAGTGTCAACACTGTCACAAAAATCACGACCAATAGCGGTGTGACAACATCATCACCAGCGAAATAGAGTCAACACTGTCACAAACAACCCTACCAATAGCGGAGTGACAACACCATCTCCGCTATTGGTCGAATTGTTTGTGACAGTATTGACTCTATTTCGCTGTTGATGGTGTTGTCACTTCGCTATTGGTCGTGTTGTTGTGGTAGTGTTGAATCTATTTCGCTGTTGATGGTGTTGTCACACCGCTATTGGTCGTGTTGTTTGTGACAGTGTTGACACTTTTTCGCTTGTGATGGTGTTGTCACTTCGCTATTGGTCGTGTTGTTTGTGACAGTGTTTATTCTTTTTCGCTGATGGTGGTGCTGTTACTCCGCTAGTGGCCGTGTTGTTTGTGGTAGTGTTGACTCTATTTCGCTGGTGATGGTGTTGTCACTTCGCTATTGGTCGTGTTGTTTGTGACAATGCTGACTCTTTTTCGCTGGTGATGGTGTTGTCACACCGCTATTGGTCGTGTTGTTTGTAGTAGTTTTGACTCTATTTCGCTGTTGATGGTGTTGTCACACCGCTATTGGCATTGCTGTTTGTGACAGTGTTGACTCTATTTCGCTGGTGATGATGTTGTCACACCGCTATTGGTCGTGATTTTTGTGACAGTGTTGACTCTATTTCGCTTGTGATGGTGTTGTCACACCGCTATTGGTCGTGTTGTTTGTGATAGTGTTGACTCTATTTCGCTTGTGATGGTGTTGTCACTTAGCTATTGGTCGTGTTGTTTGTGGTAGTGTTGACTCTATTTCGCTGGTGATGATGTTGTCCCTTCGCTTTTGGTAGTGTTGTTTGTGACAGAGTTGATTCTATTTCGCTGGTAATGATGTTGTCACTCCGCTATTGGAAGTGTTGTTTGTGACACTGTTGATTCTATTTCGCTGGTAATGATGTTGTCACTCCGCTATTGGAAGTGTTGTTTGTGACACTGTTGACACTATTTCGCTGGTAATGGGGTTGTCACACCGCTATTGGCATTGCTGTTTGTGACAGTGTTGCTTGTAATAGTGTTGACTCTATTTCGCTTGTGATGCTGTTGTCACTTAGCTATTGGTCATGTTGTATGTAACAATGGCAAATAGAGTCAACACTGACACAAAAATCACGACCAATAGCGGGGATGGGGTTGTCACTCCGCTATTGGTAGTGTCGTTTGTGACAGTGTTGACGCTTGTGATGGTGTTGTGACACCGCTATTGGTCGTAATGTTTGTGACAGTGTTGCTTGTAATAGTGTTGACTCTATTTCCCTGGTGATGGTGTTGTCACTCCGCTATTGGTAGTGTTGTTTGTGACAGTGTTGATTCTATTTCGCTGGTAATGGTGTTGTCACACCGCTATTGGTCGTTATGTTTGTGACAGTGTTGATTCTTTTTCGCTGGTGATGGTGTTTTCACACCGCTTTTGGTCGTGTTGTTTGTGACAGTCTCGACTCTTTTTCGCTGGTGATGGTGTTGTCACACCGCTATTGGTCGTGTTGTTTTCCCTGCTTGGTGGTGGTGTCGTATACGTCGTTTTCGAAATACTTTTACCTTTTATTGGCAGAGACATGTTCGGCATAAATTTTTGTTCTATTTGATCATTTTAATGGAAGTTAGCGAAAAGGATGTTTCCGTTAATGAAAGTTGTAGCCTGGGTCCTGATGTATTTTGTCAGTGCGAAATCGTGACTTGTTTAGTCACTAAGCAAGATACCGGCCATTAACTGCCTTCTTATTAGTCAAAAGTAAGATATTGTTCGATTTTGCTCAAATTTGGTATGCAGGTATTTTATTACCACATAAAACTGCACCGCGAATTCCTTTTACTTGATTAGGTGATATGAAAATTTTGTCGGATTTTAATCAAATTTAGTATGTAGGTGTAATAATGGCACTATTGTTGTGCCTTCTGTGTAGCTGTTGATTAAGGATGACTGCAGTAGACTAGCTTTGAATTGGTCGAAATTTAGACGTAGTTCAACTTTGCTCAAACTTGGTATGGCATTTTCAATTCTTTCTGATGCACCTCTTTTGACTATTGCGACAGCTTTGGAGAGTAATGCAACGGCCCCCGTTAAGTGTTATATTGTACTTCGCAGTGAAATCTACTCTTCATTACTGGTTAAATCTAATGCAATAAATACACTGGCGTGTAGTTGGTTTACGTGTACAATGTATATTTGACCATAGCACCAGCAAAACAATGAAGATTTTTTAAAAATGCCTTTGTCACATTTGTAAATTTGAATACATTTTTGTTGTTTTTCAAGCCATGTTTGTAGTAATTTCATTTCTCTATTAGAATGCAATTTTCAGAGTCACGCATTCTCTAACTCGCAAAAAGCATGATTGATACGTAAAGCAACATACTGTTTATATATAATAATATTCTGGTGTACCTTGTACATTTAAAATTGTGTTTTTTGGTGACATTTTTCGGATCAATAGAACACATTAATTAATTTTTGTTTTAGAACCTGTTCCTGCATCAGGTGGTTTACCGAAGCTTGACCCGTCGGCTTGGCCAAATATCCTTAAGCAAGCTGCAGTTCCTATTCTTGACCACACAGACTGTGGCGAATTGTACATGGACAAACTGACCAGTCACATGATTTGTGCTGGATACCTTGACGGACGAGTGGACGCATGTAACGTAGGTATTGCATGTCCATATCGAGGTTTGTTATTGGGGAGATCAGGGTGGACGGAGGAGAGGAGGTGGATCAATGGTCCACTATACAAATGTCACCAGACAAAATCACGTCTAGAAACTCATCCTACGATCAGTGTCAAGGGATGTCATGGTTTAGTATTGGATACCGTGGTGCTCCATAGGGTTAACAGTAGCCTTGATCTTTGAGCATTACAAGCAATCTAAAGTTCGTATTTTAGGTAATGAAGTATTGTCTAAAATTTGAGAGCTATTGTGCTCTTCTATTTAAAGTAGCAGAGTCATTCATCTTCGAAATTGATAACATATACTAAGCAAGTAATTTCTTTAAGGAAGTGGTACTCTTAATCAAAAATTGGTCTCCGCACATAATTCTAGTTTCAGTTGGCATATAAAGCACTCATATTCCTTACACTACATACGTATTATATATTTTCTTATCAAAATTGCCGGCTTGGGATAGTGTTCAAGCTTGAAGTTCAAATGTCATTGTTACTATAAGCTCAATTTCCTGCGGCCAGGTAACACTCGGACTTTATACACTAGTGACATAGACCTCGGACATTCTGACATGAAAAGCTATCATAAGCAAGAACTGTTGGTAAGAAAGCAGTGTGCAAAGTTTAACTGTTATTGACAAACCGGAACTTGTGCTATTTTGTATTTTACTTTAAAGTCTAAGACTGTTTAATGTTTATCCTGATTAGCATTGCTTTATAAAATTGTTGTTTTACTAGCTAGTATCAAGGGGACATGAACATTTGTTACAGCAATACCTTGGCCTAACTTTAGGGATTTAGTTGAACTTTCGGCAAAAATGCCACCCCTAAGGATGATTTAATACGAAAGGAATGGAATGCACTCGATGCTGAAAAATCGACCCGAAATATCGTTAATGCATCAAGGTTCACACTGTGATCAGCTGGTGAGATTCCCAAAACCGCTGCCATTTCCCCCCTTAAATAACCAGCCAACCACCAACACGTGTTTCGGCACGTGACTCTGGAAGAAACAGAGATTATGTCCGCGGAAGGAGAATACATTTTATGTGTATATAAGAAGTTCTGAAACTAAAATAAAATCCATCTTTCCAACGGTGCTAACTTCTTTACGTACGCCAACTAGAAATGTGAATTTTGATGCATTGACGTTAGTTCTAGTCGAGTTTTCGACATCGAGAGCTTTCCACCCTTTTCGTTTAATCATCACTGGGGGTGGCATTTTTACCGAAAGTTGATCTTAACCCCCTAAACGGGTGCAAGCACTCCTTAATCTTAGTTTAGGCCCAGATGTAGCTGTCTCAGGTCCCTTTGGTTAGTACAGATGTATCTTGAAAATCGGAAGAAGACCGAAACCTCCTTTATATAAATGGTTTCACGTGAGCTCTGCTGATGTGATTACCTGCGAGGAACACAGCCATCAACGCTAGATTTATAACTTGTGTTTTACTAAATGAATGAAAAGTATTTTAATTATTCAAACATCAATCATATTCGTCTCTCTAAAACATCTTATTTCTAGTTACGATTATTTTCGTTGGTATGAGTCGCCAGTGATCGAGAGAACGAAACTAGACAGGTCACAAGTCATAGATAGAACTTATTTGTAGTTTGTGTTTCAATTGTATGCCAGTGTTCGTATTATCTGAGCTGTTATAAAACCTTAAAGACGTAATAAATGCCTCTTCTACTGTTAGGGGGACAGCGGAGGGCCTCTGCTCTGCCAACAAACACGGGATGGACGATGGTCACTTACAGGTAATTTATTTCTTCTGTTATTATTAAGGTGAGAATTATGGTTTCCAATAACTTGAAGTTCGTTTTGGAGTATGATTAACCACAACCACACATGTATTCAAGGATAAACACGCAGGTCAAAATTGACATTGCAAAATCCATTTGCATGAGCTGGCAGAGAAAACCATTATCTTGTCGTAAAACCTATTTTATATGCAGAGTCCCAAGGCGGTCTCACAGAGGACAGCCATTTGCACTGTTACAATGTAGTAATACAAATAATGTAAATGGATTGGCTTCTGTTACATGTACAATACTTAGATTACCGATGCTCCATGCTTAGATATGGAATTGTATTTGTGTAGGACTGCATGAGAGTGATTTGTAGCGTGTAGTTCGTGACAGCTCCAGTTTGTGTTGTAGGTATCACCAGTTGGGGAGGTACGGACTACAAAGGTTGTGCGGAAGCGGATCTGCCCGGAGTCTACACTAAAGTGTCGGGGTACTATCACTGGGTCCTCGCCTCTATGTATTCCCTTCGGCGCCTTTAGAAACGCGATCAGATCCAAAAATGTGCATCTTGCTACTATAACCCACGAACGATGGAGACTTTTGTCTACTGATCATATACAAATGTATGCAATTTGTCATTCTGAAGCAAGTAAACTAGTATTTAAATATTGCCTGTTTTGTGAAACATTCTAGTGTTTCGAGTTCTGTGATAGTGTTGTTACCAGTAATTAAAGCATATGGCTTATATATCATCGTAGGTGAAAATATTAAGAAAGCCAAACCAGAAAGACACTATATGTCAGATATACATGTAGATGTACTAGCGCGTGTCAGGTGGCCATGGTTCACGGGGTACATTCCAGCAACCTGTTAATGAACGACGAAATAATTATTGTGATAATCAAGTAAATGTATCGTGAAAATTATCATGATAGTGAAATAAAAAGCATGCCAATTATATCGCTATCACTTAAGCGACAAAGCTGACTGAATATGTATCTTTAATTTTTTCGACGCCACCACTGTGTTCTTCAACCGTCACTTATTTCGGCGCGCCAAGAATACACCGCCAGCACTCAGAACAATGTCGACATACAAATAGAGAAAAAAAGCCATTCGGATTAATATGTCTCGCCTGTGCCCCGCTTTGACCATCAATGCACTTGTCAAGTTTGGTTGGTCTAGCACTAATAGTTTCAGAGAAACTAACTTAAACGCAAAAATTTAATGTTGATGGAGATGCTGACAAAGTCAATGGACCATGAAAAGTAGGCCGCATCCATTGATGCATTGGTTGAGGTGTAAAACCTTAGATGCATCTATGGTCCAAGTTTGTTGGTCTAGCACTTATACTTTCAGTGAAACTAACTTCAACACAAAATAACTTAATGTTGACTGCCGCTTCGTGGCTGCGAGACAAAAAATAGAGCCAGAAACAAGAAGGTCTTAACACGGAGCTTACCGTAACAATGGGAAATACGCCTGATGAACATGATGACCATGTACATAAAGGCTATAATGACACTGAAAAGAAGCACGTGATGATCCTGAATAAGCATGTGATAACCTTTTATAATGAGATAATGACATTGAAAGTAAGCACGTGATCACCCGTATATAAAGGAGACACTGAGACTGAAAATACACACGTGATGACATTGAAAATAAGCGCCAGGTGACCTTGTAAATAAAGTAGAAAAAGGCACTGAAAATAACCGCACGAACATCCTGTATATAAAGGATATATTGACGCTTAAAAAAGCGCATGATTTCCCTGTAAAAAGAGTAAATAATAAGTGTTTGATAGCAATGATAATGACACTAAACAAGCGTGTGATAGACCCGTATATAGAGCAGATAATGACACTAAACAAGCGTGTGGTAGACCCGTATATAGAGCAGATAATGACACTAAACAAGCGTGTGATAGACCCGTATATAGAGCAGATAATGACTCTTAAACAAGCGTGTGATAGCCCTGTATATAGAGCCGATAATGACACCGAGAATAAGTGTGTGATAAATATATATATAAAGGAGATAATGAGACTAAAACAAGCGTGTGCTTGCGCTGTATATAGAGCAGATAATGACACCGATAAGAAGTGTGTGATGACAATATATTTAAAGGAGATAATGACACTAAAACAAGCGTGTGATAGACATGTATAAAGAGGAGATAATGATACTTAAACAAGCTTGTGAAGACCTGTATAAAGAAGAGTTAATGACACTTAACCAAGTGTGTGAAAAACCCGAATAAAGAGGAGATAATGACTCTTAAACAAGCGTGTGATAGACACAGTAGTTGTGCTTGTTATAAAGTTCTATTAATAGGAATATCCTTTCATATCCTCAAACAAAGATACAAAAGAATTTGAAAAACGGTGATATGGTTTGCAAATAATGCAGAGAAAAACTTTATTTACATTGAAATCTATAACACCACAGTCTAAGCATAAAACGTTTAAACTTGAAACACCTGGGTTATAATTTTCGGTGCCGAATTGCTAAATCTGTAAAGCAAATATGTAAAAAAAACAAAAAAGGAATGCCGTACCACAGAAACAACATATATAATTATCAGGTCAGGTATTTACTCCAAGTTATACATATTTCTCATGTTGAGGTAAACTTAAAAATGAGCGCGGAAACCGAGACCTAGAAAAGCAAAAGCAGGGGTCATCTCAAAATAATTTCATTTTATCTCGATCGTGGCGTATAGGGTATGCTAATGTAATGCAAGGTTGCATCCAAGACGGATTTGGTGATTGAATATTCAAACTGTCTGAGTGATGATGGTTACTGGGATCTGACTTGTGTAACAAACCAGTTCTCCGATCTTTTTACAGCTGTGAAACCAGCCATTTAACCCCTCTTCTAATCTATCGAACTGCGATAGCCCTGCTTTTGGTCAAACTCAGGACAGGATGCCTTTATCTGTTCTGTCTTCCTTTTTGGTAGAAATAAAAACTATATGAAAAAGAGCACTGAGCGACAAAAAAATGATATATACGATTGTTCCACTCTTTCCAGGTCTTAAGCACATAAGTAGAAGCTATGTCATCCAAAGCCATACCACTGTCTTTAAAAAAACACCTCTTCGTTTCAAACCAGGTCGATGTCGCTATTGCTGTTGCCGATGGGACATATGTAACCGTGGTAAATACTAGCCGCAATATATCGCTCGGCTATAGAGAACTTCTCTTTAGCTCGATCGGTTGAGCGTAAGACTAGTAAGCCAGAGGTCCCGGGTTCGATCCCATGCGGAGGTAGTGATTTATATTTAATAATCATGCGCTCTGTTACATTGGCGCCCACGTGATAGGGTGTCGGCGTCTACATTGTTGATTTCGGGCCTATACCGTATGTCAAAACTGTACGCGGCTAACGCGGCCAACCAACGATGTCCGGTGGCATCCAACTTTGCCGACGTGAGCACATACGTCAAAGGATTGTTATCAGTTAGGACAGTAAACTGCTGGGCCCCATACAAATATTCCCTAAACTTCTCTGTGATTGACCACTTCAGTGCCAGAAATTCCAGCCGATGTGCTGGGTAGTTTCTCTCCGCTTTGGACAATCCCCTGCTGGCGTAGGCAATCACCTTCTTCTTTCCATCCTGTTCCTGGTAGAGAACAGCACCCAACCCATCCTGAGACGCGTCCGTGTGTAACTCGAAAGGTCGACGGTAGTCTGCGTATCCCAAGATGGGCGGTGACGTCAGCAGTTGCCTCAACGTCTGAAATGCCTGGTCTTGTCTCTCTCCCCATTCCCAGGCCTTCTGTACTGAGTGCTGGTTCCTCTTGGTCTTCCTCGTTTTCTTCTGGGGCACAGGCATCAACTCTGAGAGCGGCCTGGCGATTCTTGAAAAATTCTGCACAAACTTCCTATAGTAACCGGCGAATCCCAAAAAGCGCTGGACATCTTCTGGTGTTGTCGGTGTCGGCCAGGTGCGTATCACCTCCGTCTTCGCTGGATCTGGTCTGATGCCAGCTGCTGACACACTGTGTCCCACATACACGACTTCCTCCTTGAAGAACTTGCACTTCTTGGGCGACAGTTTCAATCCACTCTCTCGAATCCGTTGAAATACCTTCTGTAATCTATCCAGATGTTCTTCGTAGGTCTTGGAAAAGATGATCACATCATCAAGGTAAATGAGGCAGATTGTCAAGTTGTAGTCACCTAAAATGTCCTCCATTAACCTCTGATACGTGGCTGGACTATTCTGAAGGCCGAAGGGGAGACGATTGAACTCAAAAAAACCTAAAGGGCCTACAGTGAATGCCGTCCTCTCCTTGTGTGCTTCAGCAACCTCTACTTGGTGGTATCCACTTTTCATATCGATGACTGAAAAATAATGGGAACCCGCTAAACAATCGAGTATCTCCTCCACCCTCGGAAGTGCATACGAATCTCGAATGGACCGCTTGTTCAATTCCCTGTAATCGATGCACATCCTCAGAGAATTATCCTTCTTCCGGGCTAATACCACGGCCGATGCCCATGGACTGTGAGACCTCCTGATGATACCACTGTTCAACAGTGTCTGGAGATGAGATCTGACTTCATCATACAGTCCCGGGGGTATCCGACAATGTCGTTGCTTGAAAGGTATCGGGTCTGCTAATTCTATGCGATGCTGAACTGCATTGGAGTGTCCAATATCCGTATCACCATGCGAAAAGATGTCGTCAAAGTACTCGATCAACTTGTTGCCCTCTTGAAACTCCTCGTTGGTAAGATCTCCTTGGGTGAGATCAACCTTGGATAATGTTGACTGACTTTTACTAGTCTCCACTTGTGGCTCCAGTTGCTCAATACTGACAGGTTGTAACTCACATTACACTGCCCCAGGTGCAAGAGTAATGGTGTGTGTCGACATGTTGGAGATTCCTACCTCCACTGGTCCAGTTCCTCTGTAACGGTAGTTTATCACTGTAGGCGAGATGTGGTGGTCTGGCTCAAGTGTAGATTCCTTGCAAGACTGCAATAAAGCACAGGAGTTAGGGTAGGCCTGGTGCTTATCTACATATCCCCTCACAGTGATCTGTCTGTTAGGATGGATGGTGACACTACTGCGCTCAGCACTCTTCACTATTCCCAGTTGGTTGTTATGACGTGCCATCCTCTGATCCCTAAGTGACATACACCTAAAAGTAATGTACCATGGAGTAGTCAGCTGACATTTCTGCATGAGTATTTGCTTGACCGACGATCCTGCCTTAATTCGCGCAAATACACTCGCCGCCTTGCTCTGAAGTGAGGACCGAAGGGCATCCCTGATGTCATGTTCTTTGTGTTTCTCTTGGATGAGGCTTGTCAGTTGATGTCTCCACACCACGTACGCATCTTTGTCGGTTCCATTAAACTTGGAGATCCATGGTTTCCGAGTTAAATGCACCTGCACGGGAGCTGGGGGTGCATCATCATAATTACTCACCTCATCTTCCTCCCCTGATAATGGAACTTCAGCTTCGTAGACTTCTTCATTTGTCAGTAGTCCCTGCTGTTTGACATATTCTACCATCCATAGCTGCAGTTCCTCTTTGCTGCTAGTCTTCGGTTTAACACCAAGTTTGTCGAAAAATTCCTTCATCTCATCTGGCTTCTCATCCACAGGCTTAATATCTTCTACCAACTGTGGCGGCGGGTCTTCTCCACCAGTAGCCATTGTAGACAAGATGCGTCAATCGGTGAACAATATTACTAACTTAAGTCTACCGTAACACAATATGTCACTCTGATATTTTAAATGCTGAAAAAAAATAACCAAATAATTTAATTCAGTATAAGTTCGTATTGCTGGAAAAATTGGGAAAAACGCGGTGAAATTATTCCGTCAAAGTTCCAATTGCTGAAAAAAATTAGGAAAAACGCGGTAGATTAATTCCGTCTAAGTTCCAATTGCTGAAAAAAATAGGAAATTTAAACTCGCTCAAAGATCAAATTTCTAAAAAAACAATTTAATTCATATAA